CAAAGAAAAACCAAAACTGAGAAACAAATACATTTGGTAACATCTTCATAAATGAGCTTAATAAATGTCATTAAAATGAAAGTGACATATAGTACAAACTATCCATGGCACTTTCACTGGAACAGTAAAATAGCTTTGATGAGTACTGTATTATGAATAACTGGGCTCAAAACAGGACCAGCAATGCAAAGAATCAGGTATTTGGTTGTTGTTAATGGAAGGTGAGGCTACAAGAGAACATGAACTACTGTATTGTAAGACGTGTTTTGAAGGAAGACTCTGGGGAAAGAAGGACATCAATGAAGGTGTGAATATGGAGACAATATGGTAGCACAAGGGCTGGTAAAGACAAAATATACATCATCACGATACAGTACAAATGAAAAAAGAGGAGGGGAGATGTTAACAGTAAAGTCTACTTTTCAAATGCAACAATCTGTTACACCAATGACTCCACAAGGGGACAGGGGGAAAAAGCCTAAAAAACTTATACTGTTTTATTTTGTACTTCCTGCAAAGAAGTTAGTGCATGAGTCACGAGAACCAATGGAGAGACAAAATGCTATTCTCTCTCCTCTTTGAGATTGGGGGCTCATATATAAATATACACACAGATATATATATATACACATATAGACAGATGAATATATATATATATGTATATATGTGTGTGTATATACAGAGAAAGATAGACAAAGATGTTATCTTCCTGCGTTCTTGGCAAGGAATTAGTCCTGAAGTTAGAAGGAGTGGAGGTAGGATTGAGGTTGGAAGGAAAGGTAACGAAGAGGGCATACCGCTTTCGGCTTCTGCAAACGACAAGAAAAAAATTGCAAATCAAACACTTTGATAAGAAATCAACTGACACCAAAGCAAAAGCAAAAAAACCCTTTATTTAAAAGTCTTCAAGGCTCAAAGGTTTTTCTGCTGAGAATGAGAACAAATATATGGATAGACAAAGAGAAAAATTAACAAGAGGAGTAAACACGGGGTGCAGGAGGGAAGAATCCTAGTTGGGCTTTCCTTCTTGCTTAATCATGTGGAAAAAAGAAAAAAAATACAGGGGAGAAAGGAAGGCAAAAATATATCTAAAAGGGATTTCAGATGAGGTGTTTGAATGTCTGCATTTTGAACTGGTATTTTTTGCTATCTATTCAGCAAGCTCTGCTGGGACATTTTCAGGTTGATGTTCTTCATGTTCCTTTAGCATTTTTTCTACAGAAGAAACAAAACCTCTCTACAAATGAACTAAGAAATACCATTTTTTAAGCTAAAGTATTTGGCTTGCATCAGGGACAAAAAAACTTATTTAAGAAGTGCTTCCTGCTCTTAATAACTGATTATAATATTCCCTGATACTAATTAGAGATGAAGTAATGGCTAACTCATATTGTGACCTGGAACTACTAAAGTGCAGACCTTAGTAGCTGATCCGCTAAACTCAGTCATGTTTTGTAAATTCAGAGGTTTCTGTGATAACTGAGCAGTAATTTAAACATAAGTAAATATATAAATGTAAAGGTAAAAAAAGAAATATATCTAATCATGGCTGATTTAATTAATCTTTAAGATACCTTGATTAGAAACAGTTGCCTAAAAAGATAAACATACTATAGATACTCTATCCATTATTTGAAAACGAGTTTGTGTTTATCATATCTATGACTATAATACCTGTATTTAGGCTTGAAAACTTTTAAATTCTGCTTTAAGTAATCTTGTAAAATCATATACTGTTTATAATTAAGAATGTAATACTGTCAAAACTTGTTATCAAGGTGTGCTTACTGTTTCGTGTAGCTTTATTAGGAGTCAGGAAAAAAAAGGAGAAAAAACCCAACTGCAAGCAGGAAGCTCAGCTACTGCTAACATGTACATTAATATTAGCTTGGATAGAGTTCTGATGATTTAAAATTACTATTGATCTCAAATTCCCTATAGTAGAGTTAAGAGAATTTAGCTGCAAATCAGAAAGCTTTAGAAAACTGGCATCTAGGAGACTGCCTGGAAGAAAAAAAGTGCATAGGTAAATGAGTATTTATGCCACTCTACATGTTAGAAGACATTAACAAAGTCAATGAAAATTCTGCTGTTGACTTAAAATGGTACTAGGATTGATCCTTTACACTGAGGTGAAAATATGAAGAGGGGATTAGGAAATCTGGAATGCCCTCACATTGCCGCTTTTGAGACCTGCACACACTTCTGAATTCACTTTGCACTCCTTGTGCTCCGAGTGCAAAATGATGAAGGCAGATGAAACTAATCTTAAAAGGAAACTCCCTGTGTAAGTAAAAAATCAGATATGTAGTTTACTTACGTAGATATTCTGTTATGACTAGTAACAAAAATTAAACTGATGGGACTTCTCAACACTTAAGCAGAAAGAATGCTTTGAAAATTTCCCCTTCTCCTAAAAATACTGGTCCTAGACCTGTCTCAGCTATGGCAGGAAATACTAGATCTTAATAAAAGGGTGCCACCTAGATAATATTCCAAATTTTTATTTATACTTATCATTGTTGCTCTAAGTAGTAAACTATGTAAAACCTCTCAACAGTTTTACAAAATATGAATCTAAACTATAATCATAAAATAAATCAGCACATATCTACTGTTGGTCACTCTCATAAAGAGTGAAAGCTACAAGGGTACCATTATCAGTTCCCCTTTCACTTTTATGAAGAATTACCAATGAAGAACTTAAGATACTAAGTAGAATAAAATATTTCCAAAGTCAGCATCAACAAACATAAATGGTAAATGCAAATTTATCTTGTTCGATGACAGCTTGCACTTGTAAACCATGTTATTCTAGTTTTTATCTTAATTCCCCACCTTTTCATTTAATAAGATGCAAGGAAATGCAAGTATACCTAAGAAGTGAGAAACTGAACTTTTGTTCCATTACCTTTCTGGTTAGACTAAAAGGCTCCAGCTCAGAAAACCACAAATATGTACTTAACATATTTGGGTTGAAGAGCACAGGAACAAGTAGAACAGTAAAGATATTCTGCGGGTAGCTCTGTGATTCACCAAACAGTGACTATAAAATTATCACTGGTTAATAAAGTCAGCAGATATTACTGTGGATCAGGGTTATAAGAATATGTGGCTAACTTACATGCTCTTCTCTTGTTACATATGTATTCACAAAATCCAGCTGTTAACATCCCTTTGTTAGTATTGTTTCCTGCAATTTTTGGGCTCTTTTTTCCTACCAAATTAATTAATTGTGAACTGTTACCTGCATGGCTTTAAGTAAGAATGAATATATGATTGTATCACACTGTGTTACTCTTTGTGAGATCCTCTGCATCACCTTGTGATTAAGAACTCAATCCAACTCCCACTGAAGTTAGTGCAAAGAATGATAAGGAAGCCATGATTTATCTGTTATTACTGAAAAAGACTGTAATATTAGCACTTATGTAAGTAAATGACAACTGAAGTAATGACAGCCTAAAGTTGGGCAATAATTCTTAGGAGAACCAACAGAAACCAAGTATTTTCTAATATTGGAAATACAAAATCTGATAAATAGTTCCACTGCTGTTACTACTGTATTTTTCTTTTTTCTAGGAAGAGATTAAACTGTTCAGAGACAAAAGAATAATAAATCATTTGCTTTACATTAGCTAATGCAGAATGAGATCATTCAATGGAAAAGTATTTTAAGAGCCCATGGGAGCTGGAAACATTAAGAAAAATATATGATATTTAAGAAAAAAAAAATAAGGATTTCTTAATCAGCATACTGTGGACAAAAATAATATCCAATAGCACATACACCATTTCACATGTCACTTTATAAGATAGGAAAGAATCAAGCAAAAACCTACTATAGGGCATCGAAATACTCTTATAAACAGTTGCAACGTTGCATTTTCCATGTCAGATGTCCCACACAGGTTTTATAGATATTTTTAGTAAAGAAAAATGACAACATTTAATAATAAACATTAAAATAAACTTTCAAAACCTCAGAAATTGTGGCATGAGCTCAAATGACAGAATTGGTTCTCCTGTGAGGAGAAACAATTACCATTTAAAGTTTTAGTTAATTAGTGGCCAAAAATAAGATGAACTAATATGTATCATTCCAGATTTACTACAGTAGTAAAGAATATAATTTTTGACAGAGGAAAATAAAATTCAGCTCAGGGACAGTATTGTCATATTTTTATTATATGCTTCTCCACATGTTGCAGAGCACACTTTTAACATTTTTGTTACACAAAAATGAATGTTGTGTAAAGCACTGGTGGACAAGTTGATAGAAGATCGACTCCAATGTTCACTCAGATGTAAAAGACTTTTTGTACAAAAAACCCACAAGAAACACTTCTTTCCCTATCTGTGAATCTGTACTAATAATAATGATTTTTTTTCTTTTTCAATGAGGAAAGGAGTCAGCCAGTTGGTAATTTCAAGTCTTAATTAATCTTTTCCAGTTTCATGATGTTATTCACATATGCGAATTTTGTCAGAACAGATACCATACAAATACTATGTTTATCCTATATTTCTGTTTATCTTGTATCCTAGATAAATTGGTTCTTCCAAATTGATTTAAATGAAATTATTATTTTGAGAATACACATAGCTATAATGAGTTTCAATATCACGTCTGTTTTCTACTTTTCCATTTTTAGTAAAATAAGTTGGACCTCTAATTAAAACTGATAGACTATTAACAAAAACATTGTAAGTTTGTGTTTAAGTAAAAATGAATTGTACTTCTGGAGACGGGACATATGTATCACTGTCCCCTGACCTTCTACTAAATGTTCTGACTTGAATTAATTTTAGGGAAGAAGAATAGTGCAGAAATAAAAGCCTTTCAGCGGTATATGAAATGGTGCAATGTGATGGAATGCTAATTATACTCTGAAATGTTTCAAAAGCATAAGAATGGCTGTGTTCACTCTGGAAAAAAAAGCAGGCAAAATTCTTGACAGTGCATTCCTGAACTTAAAATTTGCAGACATTGGACATACCTGCTTTCTCGTTTTTCTGACTTGTATTCTATGGCTATCATTAAGAGCTTTAGTTTCGCAAACACCAGTCTGCAGGAAAAAAAAAAAGGCCAAGAGTCAGTCCTTTTTCACAACCAACATCACATATGTAGAGATGGCTGCAGGGTATGTATTTTCTATGGGAACTTACACTAAGATCTTTTCTCATTTTTTCAGCTAGGTATACACAGAACACATATTAAGGTCTTTCTATTTTGAAGATAATGAACACATATTTTCCTAAAAATATAAACTGAGAAGTTGAGAACAGCAGCATAAGCACCAACACACTATGTTACTAAGTCTACTTAAGCAACAAGAATAAAGGTAATGATACACAACATAAAATTGCATTTGGCTATAGTTGTGCATGTCTTGAGGAAATTTTTCAAATCTTTGCTGGAATTCAGCCATATGTTGATTGAAGTGTGCATTCCTTAGAAAATAGGTATGTACTGAACTAAAATGAGAATACACTATTGATAAGTCGGTATTTGCCAACTACTGTCACAAAGGAACAGCATGACTGGAAGCAATTTCTGAACATTATATGGGAAGTACATTCTGATACTCTATTACACATTTTTTTCAGTTGTAAAAGTCTGTACAAGTGGCTATTTATTAAAACAACTCAAAGACTTGTAGAACTGTGAGTTAGCACACCACCATTTGCTTCAAGCTAATAGGCTCTGTCAGAATAAACAAAGAAACTAACCATTTTTTTTTTTAAATAACTACAAACCATTCTCCAGTTTTGTCATTGAAGTGTATGCAAATTCAATGCTACTTGCTTCCTGTTCTACGCATTTGTCACAAATTATTCTACGGCTCACCTTTCAATTAGATGGCTGCCATCTTCTATAAAATACACTAACTTTTCTAGGGCTCAGTGCTTCCCTACCAACTTCCTTACTTCAGTGTTATTAATAATTTTGCATATATTTCAATACTATTTATTTTCTTTAAGCAAAGTAAGCAATATTCTGCATAGTTTGCATCAGTCATATACTTAGCAGAAAACAAGGAATTGGCTGCTGAACTGATATTATTCCATTTCTATAAGTTTCAGAAATCACTGTCAACAGTTATTTTCTGCTATTTCTTCAGGATAAGAGAATAATTAGAGAGAAGCATGGATGTAGGGGTACTGACAATGCTAAGGCAATGTGCTGCATATCACATAAGGATATATACAATAAAATTTACTTTGCATTGTTTAAGTTTTGCCATGTAATACTTGAGCATATTTTTTTCTTAAAAAATTTTCGTTTTGAGGGATTGTAAAAGTACCTCTGTAATCTCCATGTCTGGGAAGGTAAGTGATATCTCAGTATTGGGAAGTAACACAAAAACACAGATAGGGGGAAGATTCATTTAACTTTTTTTCAGAATCAATTAAAAGTCTTATTCTAGCTCCAGAACTCCAGCCAATGTCAGGAATGGGCAGACAAAATCCTGATAGTTACTGAATTCTCGATTAGCCTGTCTCCTCCCACAATATTAACAGGTAAATGAAGCCTGACTATCAGCGTCAAAAAAAAAAAAAAAAAAAAATAAATTTGCAAATATAGTAACACTAGAGTATCCTATATGTTGTATTAAGACTATTATGTATCTGTTTTAAAGAAGATGATGTAAAATACAACTTTATGAGCCATGAATGTCAGGAGTTCTAAACCTATGGGGTTTTTTATTTGGACCACCTACATTACTTTAGGAAACATACTTAACTTCTCTTCCTCAGTTTCACTTCTGTGCAGTATTTGGTAATCTATCTATCTATATATCTTCATTTAAAAAAAAAAAAAAAAACAAACAAAAAAGCCAACATGAAGAGATAGGGATAAGGCATCAGCATCTTATTCTTATCTATAGATTTACTAAAAATATTTAAGTGGTAAAACAAATAGGTTTACACGGACTTGGCCATGCAATTAAATATTAGGATTAAAAAGTCTCAGCATTTAACTATATTCTGCAAATGTAGTTTGATATGATTAAAATGAGAAAGAGAAAGATCTTATACCTGCTTTTTTCCCTTGATACATAAGAACCTTGTAATAAGAAATTAGAACACTTTTTATCTCAAATTATTGTGTAGAAGTGCACAAGAATTGTCAATGACAGTACATGAGGCATTAATTTCTATTTTATTTTCAACTGCCACCATCATCTGCTAACTACTGATGAACACAGATGGTCATGAACAAAGGCTCTTAAGAATTTGAATCTGACTGATTCTATCTACCCAGAGGGAAATAAATTGGGTTTGACATTAAATCTTCCTTCTTTACTGGTAAGACTATCATTGGCATAAATTAACCATAGATACCTGCTGTATTATTTGCATGTGAAAGTACTGGGATATTTAGAATCTCCTTTCTGAGCAGCAAAACATGAGGATATAACCTTGATTAGTTATTAATTATTTATTTTTGTACCAAACATTAATAAAGGGATTTTAATTAGAAAATCTACTGGAAGGAATTTTTTTCTTTTCAAACAAATTTTTTGATTGAAGTCTTGTACACAATAAGTCATTCATTTTTTTTCCTCAGTGTCACTTATAATATTTTTGTTAAACTACTTTTGACAAAGGAATAAGTACTCTCCTCAGGAGAGAAAAAGTATTTTTAACTACTTCCATACCTTGGTTCACCTGCAGTTAGCAAAAGTATTTTGATATAGAATAAATGACATTGCTATTCACCTAATGAAAAATACGTGGAAAAATATCATTCCTGATAAAAAAGTAGTACCATAGTAGCATCTTAAGCTGAGAAAATTACTTACAATATCAGAATTCTTTCATAAATATACTACTTTTGTCTACTTTTCAACCTATTTTTTATGCACATTGGCAGCTAGTGCTTTCTGATGCTTGCTAGTACACTCTGTTCCTTAGGAGTTGGAAGTATGAGAATATCAGGGACTTTACTTTTATGGGGCAGCAGTGTCTAAAACCAATGCAGCCAATGAGGTTTGTATGTTGGATCACAAATTATCATAATATATATATAATAACCCAAATATCTCTTTAAAAGGTTACTTAATGTCAGGCTCAGCTAATTTCCAATCACATGAAACTGGCAAAAGCATGGGCACCTTCTGCTTTCAACCTACAGCTGGGTTATTCCAGATGCCAAGGACTCATGTATTGCTCAGGCAAGGAAAAAAATGTAAGCAAATACTCCAACAGTAGAATTTCACAGAACTATTCAAAACTTTAAAAGCACCGATGTAAGTGGTTACCTGATCAGTGTCAAATGGCAAGTTTGTTAGCAAGATTTTTGGGGGTCGTGTTAAAATATTTGAGATATATTTTACGGGTGTCTTACTAGATCACTACATGCACTTCTACTATTGCATTAGAATTGCTGGGTCTTAAGTATGCTACAGAAGAGCAGAAGAGAACAGAAGTCAGAGGAGGAATCAGAAATTAGACATGCTAAGAAATGAAAAGCCACTGGCTGAAATCTATCACATACATAATACAGAAGGCACTGGTGTTGTTGCTACCGGTACTGGAAAATTTGCCCAAAAAGTAAGAGTACTTAACTACTATTACAGTTATTTCCACTTAAAATACTGCTTATCTTACATGACTGTTGACTTCTTATTTACAACCTCAGGAAGACAGTAAAAAATTCGAGCAAATTCTGCAAAAGGATAAGAAAGCCTAACAGGCCAACTCAGAAATATAGACAAATGAAAAAATACAGCTGTGCCATGTGTATGTGTAATCATGCAGATGTTTCTAGATCTGTGATCGCTATGTATCTTACACTGATGTGGAGCAGAAGTAACCCCACTAAAATCATGGAATCAGTAACTTAATGAAAAGCAAACAATGCAAGTGAGGAGTTTAGTTTACTAGACAGGATTCAGTTAAGCAGGCAGTTCCATGTTAGATTAGGATTTTAACCATAATCTCAGCTGTGAGGAGACACAGAGATACAACATATTCAAGGTATGTCTTCTAGTCTAATCCCATCTGACAAATAAAATGAAACCCAATTAAATTTTATATTTTGAAAGTTATGAATCACTGGCTACAAAGCAATACCCATTGCCAGGTTCAGTGCATGAAAAACATTGTTCATGCTTATGGCCAAAACACTGAAGAATGCACTTTTTAATTTCTTTAGTCAGAGTCAGGAACCAATAGATATATCAGAAAGAGATTTGAAACTGATGAAAAGTACTACATACAAACAATGCCGAAATAACCTGCATGGCAACACTTTAAGTGTACTTTAGTACTTCAGTAAACATTTCCCTGATGTATCTGAATACAAGTTTTGATCTCTTTTCTTTTGCTTTGTTAAATCATGATATGAGGCTATTTTATCTTTGAAGGCTCATCATGGGAAGTATCTGGAAAAGGTTCTTGTCCCCCAGCCTTTAAATGATCCTCTGGTTGAAGGTTACAATAGACTAGCTTCCTTTCTCCAACAGGGTAATAGATTGAGGTGAGGGGGGGAAAGTTATCAGCCTTGTCATGGGCAGAAGCTGAGCATTTGGTATGGGTCTTTTAAGCACCTATTCTATAGGCCTAACAAAGTTTTTAGCAGCAATTTTGTTGAATATCACTCATATATAGCTGTGCAGAAGGCCTTTTTTCTTTGCCTTAGGAGATCAAGATCTTATGAGGTCATCCAAAGACCAAAAGAAAAAACCTTCTATTAAATTCTATGAGATTGAGTTGTAAACAATTAACATAAGTTAAAATAATAAAAAACACACTGACGTGGGCCAACGTTTGCATAAATAAATCAAAAAAGTCAAAGTACTCTTTAAATCTAGCACAGTGGAAAAAGATCTCCAAGACTGGAACACTACTAGGATAATGAGGAATCCATGGTAGCAGGAAAAGTAGACATCCAGAGGGAGTACAGAATATCAAGTGTACAGTTCAGTCCAAAAGCATATAGAGAATATGGATGAACCTTGACAAAAAGCAGGCTCTTTTCTAGTGGGTTCATGAGTCATTATTTAAATAATATATAACAGAGTGTGCGTAGAGTGACTTATGTCACTCATGGCAACGTGACATACATCACTCATAATGACATACATTAGTCTCTCTCTATACACATATATACACACAGAAGCACTTCATATAAATTAATTATTTCTACCAGTTCCAGTAAGTGGCTGCTGACAAGACCAAGAGCAGGTGAGCAAATAAATCTGCTGTTCACGGTAGTGGATACCACTACCATTGCTAGGATGGTAGTAAGAATGTGAACTGAATATTTAACAGTTTTTGGTTGCTGACCTGTCTGTTAGGAAAACACTGAATGTAAGAAATGTCAATACAGAGCTCTAAATTAATTTTTTTCTGCATTTCCCACATCAAATACTATCTTGGTTTATGAGTTGCTTCCTGATTTAACTGCTGTGAAGTGTTGTGGAATACATCCTACTCCAATCCACACTTGGCTAAGGAGTTTCATAAGTATTTGTCTTTCATTACTTTTCTGTACTCTTATCCTGCTAAACAAAACTAGCATTCCACTGTTCTTTCTGGCTCCCAATAAAACTGATCATGTTGGAATAAGAAAACCAAGTAAAGATACTGTTCCTATAAGAGCTCTACTGAAGGTTTTAAGCACCAAGAAACCATGCTTGCTTTATAAAAGTGGGTATTGTTAGTGTCCTAGGTATGAACAGGAAACATAGCTGCCACACATACAGAGTTTTGAATTAATAAACCAAAATTTGTCTAGTAATTACTAGCCCACTAATTACTGTAGTAAAATCCAGGTTATCCAAAACAGTGGTGTAAGCATTGGTAATGGTAACATAGGCCTCCATAACGCATTAAAGAAGAAAGAACTGTGGGAAGCTCTAAGGCCTCTGTGCTGATCTATGGATACTTTTCTATTGAAGCAGCTTTTTCATACTTGGGAAAAGGTTGCTGTCCACTGAGATGAAATCAGGGAGCACAGCGGGTCCTCACAACATCTGATTTCATGTGTTGGCTCTTGCTATCTTGCAGGTGTGCCCGAGGAGAATATTTAGCACATATTCATTGTCTGGGTGGATGCAGTGGGGCTGGCCAACATTTTGCTGAGAGCACTTGGAAGAAAGTGTTAAATATAGGAGACATCTCAGGCAGAATCAGATAGAGTCTGATTTTAATCACAGTCAGAAGATGGAAAACTTCATTTAGAGCTAAGCCAGTCTAGAGGCTGTCTTGTGGCTTGGCCACTACCTGAGCTGAGCTTGGGTTTGTTGAGTCTAAAATTTGACACACTTCTGCAATGTTGAAAAAAATCCTGGGTTTAGGAAAAAGCTCGTAATTTAACAGGCATGGATTGATTCAGCATCACTGCTTCAGAGAGGCAGAAAACTGTACTGGCCATATTAAGTGTAGCTTAAATATCAAAAGTCCAAAAGTGCCTAAGATTTACCGAGCCCTCTGCGACAAGTCAGAAATCTAGTTGAACAGAATGATCCAAAGATAGAAGTGAGAACTTGACAGTTACAGGTAGCCCATGTTGTCCTTGCTCTGTGAAACACTGGCTTAATTTGGAGTCACTCTCAGACTAGGAAGTGCTACTACTATGAACATATACAGAAAAGAAATAATCTGTTGTGGAGCTGAGAGAGAATGCAGACAAGTGCTGAGTGTCACCTACTCACCTAACTTAGCTCTCCTTTGTCACAACAGTGAAGTTTCTAAGACTTCTCTGATTATCTCCCCAAACAGTCTTTTATAAAAACATACAAAAAAACTTCATGACTAAGGTGGGAATATATGCCATAGTTATAAACCATGCAACAATATGATACACAAATACAGAGATAATGACATCTCTATAATTTTGCCTTTTATTAAAACATGGCTGTGACATTTGATTGAATGAGTGACTTCAAGAATAGAACCAACAGCAAATGGCCCTGATTTAACATATATTAAGACAAGTGGACACCTTTCATATACTGTTTCCACCGCTAGGTCAAGTGTGAATCCATGGACATGCTAGCCTCACTAGGAAAATTTTTGGGTGGAGAATGGTGGGCCTAGAACCTGGGTGAAGGTTAGCCTTGCATTAGTAAATATTAGAAGGCCCACTAGAAGACCCTGCGCTAGTGGGGGACAGTTTGGTTAGTTTATTCTTCAATCAGCAACATCCACACCTGGTCCAACAATATCCAAGGGCACAGAATGATAGGAATTACATTCATATATTGAAAATGTACTGGTGGGAATATGTTCACAAAGTACACCCACATATACTCAGAGTTATAAATAAAACTTGCAGACTGTTACTAACTTCTATTTCCATCTAAATCTTCACCCTGGTGTTGACATCAAAAGCTTGAAATTCTTCACCAATACTGAGTGTCCCATCTCCATTGAAAGAGGAGATGTTTCTGCACTCTCTTTGTGTTTCTTATCTAAACTCTAAGGCAGCCTATTTACCAAAGAATCACATTCCTAGACTGGCAATTAAGACCAATAACCTGAGGAAGCAGCACATCTCATTTAGTTTCAGTTTTAAAATGTCATTGACTGCATGAATTTTAAAAGCTAAATTACAAAAACTGTTCTCAAAGTCTGAGTATTTTGTGGGTAGTTGATCACACTGAGCCTGTCCACTGATTTTATTCCCCCTTCACAAACCAATGCAATGGACTTTTTGCTGTCCTTCAGTTCTGGAAATTGAATACCCAATTCTTACAGTAATTAAAATACCTATGCACCAAACTCATTAATATGTAACACTACATTTTAATTTTCAATGTGCTTTAATTAACCTGACTTTAACAGAGTTATTAAACTGTTAGAAAATTTGAGATAAATCTTTTTCTTTAATTTAAACTAGGAAACACAGTTAATTAAGCCTCCAGATAATCAAATGCTTGAGGAGAGCTCCAAAATTTAGGCATGTTTCTACATGTCAATGCCCTTTCTTTATTGATTATTTTATCTCAGCTCTACCAGCATAGTTAAATGAATGTCAGCTTTATGTCAAATACAGTCTCAGTCACATGTTTCTAAGTACTTGTATAGAAACTCAACTGTTTGACAATGGTTGGTGTGGAGATTCAGTTTTCATGATTGTAATTAGTGTAAACAGCACAAATTACCATTCATTCTGAATATAGTTCAAATTTCTAGAATACGTTATGGCATTTTCTATTTCAAGATATCCAGGCAAAGTTTTGTGCTTACAGTATAAACATTTTCCCTCAATAACCTAGCCACAGTCTGGTTAACACAGTGGAGGGATGGATTGTAAGCCCATTGAGACAACTCTGTCATAGCTACGTCTCAGAAAAAGAAAGATTTTTAAATGGTTAACATTTGTCTAACAGTTGTTTCTCCCTTATTCTTATGCCATAACCTATGTTTATGCTAGTGTAAAAATCAGAAAAGGTGGGAGAAGTGAGAGGACTTAAAGCAAAATCATTCTCCTTTACATGAGAGATATCTTACTTCTTCCTCTATTTCCTCCTTTAAGAATGGAGACTGCAGAAGTTTTTCTGTTATCTAGTTAGACATTAAACTCTTTCGAGTAGGGTCTGTTTCTTTTTAAGCATTTGAACAGTCCCTAGCAAAAGCTGTCCACAGTCTTTGTTGTGACCTTTTGGTACAGGTGTAACGAAAAGCAATGCCAACATAAGAGGAAATAAAACTGTGCTAAACTATCCTGACTATATTTGTGGCCACAGTAATTATCATAGAAACCTTGTGCATACAAATGTCCCATTCACAGAATCATTCTAGGACAAATATAAGGATTTTCAGTCTCTAGAAATCAAGTTGTAGCATGGCTTATGCTATGATTATATACTATATGCTTCAAATACTCCTTTCTCATTACAGAATAGACATACTTTTTCTGACATATTTCACTTGTTAAAAGTGGTTTGCAACCAGATCTACAGAGCTCTAGATGCCACACTGCTTATATGACTCCACTACATCTGTTTCAATTAATGAATAGTTTCCTTGGAATGCGATGTAAGCCAAGATGGTGATGCTGACATGCATGATTCAAAGAATGGGAATCATTATTAGAAATAATAGGACAGCACTTATGAGTAAATAACTCAATTCAAATGGATTGCTGATGAATTTTTTCAACACTGAAAACATTTATGCTTTCATTTACAAAAACTTAATTCCAAATCTCTTCTGAAAACAGGCATTACAATGTTTGGAATACTTCCATGCAGTGATTGCTTTAATGTTTATTTTTTGGATCCTATCTGATGTAGCAACATTAGGACTGTAACAGAGTGAGAAGGTCTCCTGCAGAAACCTTAGATTTCACTTGAGAGAAGGCAAATACTTATGTGTATTAATATGTATTTCTACTTACTCACAAACTGCAGGGAAGGACAAACCCACAAAGGCACTAGACAGATATTCTGTATACATTTCATTTGCAACTCCTTCCAGGTAGTATTTCTGCCATGTATCCTCCTCAATCTAAAACAAACAAACAAACACAGATGCAGAGTTCTGAGTAAAACCAAAAGCTTTCTTTAAAATTTACAAACAACTGCTTAAACATGAATCAGATTTTAATGAATAAGTCAGCAGACTGTTATGGCAATTAATATTGCTTATTTTTACAGGATTTCCTGGAACGCCAAAAGAAAAAAAAAGAGTCCATGTAAGTCAGTAACTCAAGTATCCTATGTAAAAATAATACACTCAATTCTTGGCAAGCACATTCAGCATGAGGTGAAATAAGGTTGTACAGACCTTGAGGAAAAAAAGTTTCTCAATTTTCTCTTCCTGAAAATTCTCTAGTGAAATGGTTGCACTGTATTGTTATTTGAGTGTCTCTAACAATGTTTCAATTATTTTCACCTTGTTCAGAAGTTGATCAGCAGTCAAAACTCATCCTTAAAATTATAATTTTTTTTTCATCTCTGCATCTATAACTAACAAGGAAATATAAGAAACATATATTGAAACAATTTATTCAATGGTCATCAGTGCTTTAGGGCAACAACTGAAGAAAACCCTTACTGCTAAATTCAGAGATCTTTTACTGTTGAAGGTACAAAGGAAAACAAGTCAGAGATGCTACAGGACGACCATCAAAAGCTCAATATATTTGCCTAAGCAGAAGTTTCTAGTGGTATTTGAGATGTGCATGCAATCCCACCTAGCTTCCAGCTGCTGCCCCGGGGTCTGTGGATGCCATGTCATATCTATAAAGCTTATGTCTCAGACACTCTATAAGGTCTTTCAATTAGCATCAAACACCTATATTAAGGCAACTGGGTTGAGCTGCTTAGTATCTATCAGCAGGAACAGCACCATAATTCAGAATAGGAAATGCAAAGCTAGCTGACAGGACTGGAAATATGGCATGCGCTAAGCTGTTCACTGCTGAAATCCCAGTTCTCTATACTATAATTTGTGCCTTCATCCAAAGTTTGTTCAAGATTTGACTGTCATTCCCAATGAGCCATTCCTAGGCAAACTAGGGAAACCACCACAAACACACAGCCTGAAATATCTAAGGCTTCACATCAAACTGTTGCTTCCCTATTTATTACATCACATTAAAATAGAGCAAAAATTTCAACCACAATGGGACATTCTTGCATGTAATTTTCTCTTTGGCTTTATTCACTAATTGTGCTATATAAATTGTGTGAACAGAGAAATTCATATTTGCAAGAATTACACACAGCACCAAAAAATGTATTATGATAATACAATATATAAAAATTAGTGAAAAACATGTCAGTTACATCAGACTAGCAAAAATAATGTGGGGTCGGGTTTTTTATATTTTATATAACCACATTTTCATTAAACAGAGTCTATCTAACTAGATAGTAAATAGGAAACAAGTAAAAAGAGAGAGACAGAGAGATCAGAGTTTTTAATTTTCCTAAATAAGGCACATGATTTTACAGTTCATTGAAATATTTATCTTGTAATTTAGTTCATGTCTAAAAGCTATATTTTATTCTTTGCAAAAAAATAAATAAAATAAAAATAGTTCCACTGTTTAGGTAGCCCCATTATGGTCTTCATCTTACAGAGCAGAAAGTAAGACAGCATTGAGTTTAGATGTGAAGGCCACAAAACTGACATAATGAGAAAGTATTTTTTAAAAAACTATTGGTAGAGATTTGCAAAGCTACCTGAATGGCTGAAGCACCAAATACTAACTGATTTGAGAAGGACTTGGCTCTCTTAAACATTTCACTATTTGTCTTTTTCTGATATACCCAGCTTTTTCCGAAGCTCAGTCTACATTGTGTAAAGAGATGACGATACTAATCCTGCAGGAAACAGAGCGGTAGCCAGGCCCAGTGAAGTGGCAAAAAGGATGCTTCAGGAACATCCATTCTCATAAATTACTGCAGGTAAAGCTCAAATGCTTTCATCTACACTGCTGATCTTGCTTGTCTAAAGTCCCAGAGCCAGTGTAACAGCAACCAACCAGAGGTTTTTTCCCAATATATAGAGAACTCTCAGAATTTCAGAAATTTTTATCACAGAATTCAGTCCAGTAAGATAAATAACTTATTACTGCTTTAAAACTTTGTGCAGCTATATTACTGCCCGCTATGTCAAATGCCTTGGATAATATCCAGTCAAGGATTTTAATGGTATCAAGTGCCTTATGGCAGCAAAACATAGGCCTGTATATTCTTTATGGTAAAAGTATTATGGTATGTTAGGAGGGGTGTGGGGTTTGTTACAAAAATATGTTCCAAACAGCAATATATACATACATCTCCGTCAGTATTCAAGAAAAGAAATTAATACATGGATTGTAAATGACTTGGGTAAAGGTGTCCAAATTAATTTTTCTGCTATTCAGCAATAAATCGAATTGAGAAAAGCATTTTAAAGCAAGAACTTATCTTTGTTGTGTCAAACCATAGCTGTTTTAAAACAGCATTAAAGCAAGAAGTTCTTGCATAACATACAGGGCTTAAAGGAAATCTAATCATGTAAATTCAAAAAAGGATAAAAATTTAAGATGGGAAAAATTAAAGCACATGTTCTAATCACCAGACAGTTCAGTCTGTGACCAACAACATACTCTATGTGTTTATAATATATCCAGCAACTGGCTTTCTGCCTCTTAAATTTAAAAATGAACTCATGCCTACATAGATATCATTCAAAACTTTTTTCTGGATATTAATTCTATTTTTCCTTTAACTGGTTTGTTTATATTGGTGTTTCATTAGTTGTACTTATTATTCTACTCTAAATTATGCTTCTAAACAAGGTATAATCAGATGAAAACGTTAAGTGTTTAACAAAACTTTTAAGCTAAGTAATTGATATTTTTCAATTTTAAAGTAAATCTTTAGGAACTTTTAAAATCTTATATGCTTTAGGAAATAAAATTATATGAGCACAAGCTGTAAAAGTAAACTACATTTTAAAAACAAAAGCTATAATCGTTACAGAGTCCTATTTATTCCTCAAGAGTATAGAACAGATTTTTCTTGTTCCTTCTTATCCATTTTTATTAAACACTTAATATTTTCTAAATGTTTTAAGTTATAGTTCTGTATTTCATATTCTTAATTCAGTTCCAACACATGAAGCTCACAAAACCCCACAAAATAAGAATTCTATGTAAATGCAGTTATGTTCCTCTTCCCAGTCCTTTTTTTTTGCTCTTTTGGAGAGCTGTCTCCATCCCCACTTCCCCTGCCTGCAGTTCCCTAAGTCCTTGCCCTTGACTCTGCCCCTTTGTTTCTCTTCGCTACCATGTAATTACCTAACATCACCCACAATACCAACAGAACTGTTTCTCTAGGCTTATGTCCTGTATATCTTGCTTTGTATTTCTCTCTTAACTCCTTTATCCAAAGGGAAATGTCAGCCTGCCCAATTGACATGTACTAGAGGATGTAGAGCCACCAACTGACAGTGCTTTTACTGACAGAGTTCTTTATCTTACTTCTCCATCAGCAGTATTTCCACCTCCTCTTTCAAACCTCTTTTAGGCTCATAACGTGGTTATCTTCTTTGCCTGCTTCAACCTAGTCACTTATTCTATGCTTAAATCATACAGACCTCTTGTCTTCCCACTAATCAGGATAAACTATGGAAAAAATGTCTAAATCATGTTAGAAAAAAGTTCACTTTTAAAAGCTTTAAGAGACAGCAAGACCAATTCCATGTCAAACTAGCATTTTATGGATAGACAGTACCAAAAAAGCAAGGGATGCAGTACTGTCATACATACTAATCTCAGTGAGAAAAAACAGGATTATATTATTCATTAGCAGGAAATAAAGCAACAGCTACATTAAAAGGCTTCAGAGAAAAGGAATTGCAGTTGAGCCTCTACAGTTGCAGAAGCACATCAGGAATGTAGTGTCCTAGCAGCACATGTAAGAACTACAGCTCTGCTAATTGTCTAACTTAAAGAAGCATCTTCATACCATGTCCACACATGGCTTGTATTGATGAGCTTTTCAAACTCTTCTACAACTTAAAAGCACCTCTTCCCTGTAATAGCTTGATCCACAGCTTGTTTAAACCACTCAAACATTCTCTACTGATTCTGACATGCTTAGGATCATTGAACAGCATAAAGCAGAAAGAAACAAGAGTGTATTTTGACATAAAGATTTAAGTTAGAAAAAATAAATCAAAATAATTTTCATATTATATCATTACGTTCTAATATTATATTATTAAATAAAACCATTATATTGTTATATTACATTATTAACTATTACTATTACTTTTATATTATATATTATTTTATAGTATAACTTTCATTGGAATTTGGTGTGACCCAAACCTCTCTTGGACAATTTTCCAATATTAAAAAAAATCTGAATTCCACAGCTATTTCAACAGGACTTCTATAGTATTTTACATAAAGTTTGCATTTTTATCCTACAGGCTGAGTACAAATTTGGGATTCACCAATCTTTTGCCCATGTTAAACTAGTCAAAAGGCACTGTTTCAAAAGAATGTTCTAAAGAACAGAAGGATTGGAAACTTTTCAAGAAACCAGTGAAATATAAATTACAATGAATTTATTTCTTTTCAATTTTCTTCTCCTGTTGATAGGCTGCCAAGTAACCAGTTACTTTAGTTCTGGAGAAGTAAACAACTGCAAGAATAAATTGCAATATGGAAATGTTCCAAATTATACACTCCCTGACAAGTGGGATGCAAGCAATCAAGAGAAATTTCTTCCATAGAAATTGTTTCACCATTCAGAGACCATGTGGGATGCTAAAAGGGATTTGCATTGTATTATTCTCCACCACACACAGAGAAGTCACATCACATTTTTTATAACCCTTTTATTTATGTGAAGCTTGCAAATGTTGCTGATCAGCAACTCTTTATATACAGAAAACAGATAAAGTGCAGGCTTGGTAAAAAATAAGAGTAATGATAGCAAGGACATGTTTGTAACTTATGGTCTATTTTGTGGCTTTTTCTTAGATTGACACCACCTGAGGTT